TTGTTGGTTTGGTTTTTTCAGCAGACATTTTCAAGACACTAACTTTTCGTGGAATCAGCCAGATCCTACCTGTTAAAACATGATGGATTGGGGGAAAAAAACACACCAGGAACCTGAAAAACCAGCGTTCATCTCCATGACCACGGCTTGAACTTTCCTTCCAACTTAGCGATAATAGGTTCTGTCTTGGAAACTGCTATGTAATTTGATGTATGAGGGTCACTTGGCTGGGGAGAGGGTGGACACAAACCCAGAGAATGCTTCTCCTGCCCGCGCGAATCCCCTCTCCCCCCCCCCCGTTTCTTTTTGTCCCCCGTCCTTCTTTCTTTCTGGTTGTTTTTTTTTTTCCCCAGATTGAAGTCTACTGGTTACCTGCCTGAAAATAACCAGTTAAAGAATCGCCCGCATTAATGAGAGAGGAGACCTGTGCGCAATCTCCGACCTAGGACCTCTTTCCACACGCACTCACATTGTTCTCAGAAATTAAAGTGTGTTCCTCACCGTCCCCCTACCCCCTTGCTGACCAACAACTACGTCTTTTCGGATCAGAAGAGCTCTCGTTTTTTTAGCCACTTTCCCTGTACTTAAGCAGCTGGATATTTTCCCCCAAAACATCTAACGAGGACAAATGCTTAGGGGCGAAAAGCCTTACACAACACATGCACCAAACGAGCTCATTCTACGCCTTTCAAGTTATACGAGTTCTTAGAAAACACTATTCCCTTTGTTAGGTCGTAACAAAATGAAGGTAACACACCTACAGCAGGGCGGCTACCCTGTTATTGCACTAATCAAGCTCTTTGGATGTTACTAAGCTAATAAGCCGATGGAGATCTGAGGCGCGCACACAATTTCCAGCTCCTCGCCTCTCCTTCCTGATGCTATCGAGGCCTGGTGTGATTTTTCTCAATTCCTTTGAAAGAGAGAATATAGACACCACTACCAGAGGAGAAAGAGGAAATAATGAGCCAGCGGTGATTTTACAAAGGCACTCGCCTTTCATGATCGCGACATCAAATATTCCGCCTTCCCCTGGCCGCTTGGAAGTTTGCTGGCGCTGGCAGGACGGGCAGCGCTGAGCGGGGACGCGGAGCGCGCTGCTCCCGCAGCCGCCTGCCCGCAGACAATAGGCAACTTTACTCGGAAGGCAAAATATTATTGAAGCTTCGGCCGCCTGCCAGCAAGGGGGAAAAAAACCAAACCAAACCAAAACAAAACAGCCGCAAAAAAACCAACCAAACCAGCTCCCGCCTTTGGCTTCGCCAAGTTAATCACTTCCTACGAAGTTACAGAGAAGCGGGGGTACCCTGGGGAGCGCCCGGCCATTCCTGGCGAAAGCGGGAATAGCGGGATTAAGAGCGACAACGATCACGATAATAACAGCGACCTAACGGGAGAGGGAAGGGGGGGGGGGGAAGTTTGCCACCCCAGCCGGTGCCTGGGATGGGAAGAGCTCTCCTCTCCCCCTCGGAGACAAAAGGCCAGGTCTCACAAACACAGTTGGGCCCCCAATTTTTCCAGTGCCCATTTAATCGGCTCCATCTCCATTTGTGCAATACACCTCTCTGCCCTTTACCAACTTCTCTCCCTCCACCCAGACAGCCCGGAGACAGCAGATGAAAGCTGCTTGGGGAAGGCAAGTCCCCCCCGTTCAGTTCCCCCACTTCAGCTCTCCCCTACCCTCTCCTTCCCTCCGCCTCCCCCCTTCCCAAGCACGCCAGATCTTTGCTCTGTAACTCCCAAACGAGCCCCAAACTCTGACTCTAGGACGAAAAACCAGGCAGCCCCCCTGAAAGATTTAGGCGAGAATATGGCGGCAGGGGGATGAGAGGGGAGGGAGAGGGGGGGGGGGGGGGGGGGGGAAGAGAGGAGAGAGAGCTGCCTGAACACGAAGTGTAAGGGTATCAGTCACTGCCTGGAAGGAAGCCCCAGCTTGTGAACTCTTCTTGAACCGACATTTAAGTCTACGGTCATAAATCACTGGGACATAAACTCCGCCATTCACGACTGATAGCAGCGTATTTGTGGCCTGCTTACCTTAACTTCTGACGACTGAGGCGGAAGCCAGCATGCTCTCTCTCTCTTTTTTTTTTTTTTTTTTTTTTTGTGG